GTCTTAATACATATACCAACATCTTTGAAACTTTTGGTCTCAGAACCCCTCTTATACTTTAAAAAACTATTGAAGACTCATTACATAATGCTCCAAACAAACCTTTTATTAACATAACTATATTTTTCAAAATAGAAAAAAAATAGTGTGGAGAATGGCACTGATAGGAAGTTTTGCAAATCCCTTTTTATAGGTTACTTAACATTCTTTTCTCATTTTTAAAAGCTTTATTGAGTCATAGTTTGTATACAAAATGTTTTACATTTAATGTATGCATACTCCCAACATCATCACCATAACCAAGATACTAAACACATCCATCACCTCCAAAAATTTCCTTGTATTCTTTTGTTAAGTTTTTATTTTGCTTTTGTTTTTGGTACAAACATAACATGAAATCTATCCTCAGAATATTTTACAGCACACAATACCGTATTATTTACTGTAAGTGCCGTGTTGTACAGAAGATTCCTAAAACATACTCATTCTCATAAAAAAAAACTTTATGCCCATTGAAAAAAAAATCCCCATGTAATTTTACTGTCTATTCACATCACCTGAAGAACTTTTATAAACCCAATGCACCACATACTACCACATACCAGTGAAATCAGAATGTGATGAGAGCTGGGCACCAATATTTTTCAAAGATCTCCAGGTGACTCCAATGCAAATGTTAGGAATCACCATTTCTTTCTATCTTAATGGGAGACAAGCAGATTCTCTTGTTTTGAATTCAACCTATTGTGACATCTCATCTTCTGTGGGCTGTGGAGAATACCACTGCAAACTCATGGAAAATGATAAATAGGTCTTAGTATTATGAAAATTGAGTTCACAGACCACCCCCTCTCCCCCCAACCCATCTAAAAGTGCCTCAAGGACTTCAGAAGTTCCCCAGACCACACTTTAAGGACAGCTGCCTTATATTGTATCCATTGACAGACTACCTGCTCAGTATTAGAGCTCTTCTGCCATCTCATTTAATTGTCATGACAGCCCCCTGAGAGGTATGACTGACCTATGTCACAGTCATGAAAACTGAAACTCAACATGGTTAACTTTTCTGAGACCCAAAGGGGAATTAGAACCAGGATTTGAAGCAAGATCTCCAACTCCAAATCCCATTGTCCTATGCTTCTATTGGCATAAAAGTACTTGGCATATTCAAAGAAATAAGGTATCTGACTTTCATTTCTGCTGTGAGATGGAAGGAGATCAGCCTATAGGTGCATATATAAAGGCAGGGGATGGGGAAATGAAGTTTTGATGAAAAATATTTATGTTTTTTAAATATTTATTTACAGTGGAGTGAGGTTCTGATGAAAAAATATTTGGTGGTGGCTGAGTGAGGTTCAAATGTGTGAGGTTCGAGATATATTTAAGGGTGAAAAGCTTTCACCTCATGGTCAGGGCTTTTAAGTCAGACCTAGTTTTAAATGTCAGTTTTGCAATTTACAGCTAATTGATTTGAACAAATTAACCTGCATGAGCTTTAAATTTCTAGATTAAAATGTAATAATACCTCCTTGGGGGGTTTCCAGGAGCCTTAAGTGAACCATGTAAACTGGTTTTATCAGTGCCTGGGACTTAAAAATAACTTAGGAAATGGTACGTTTTCTTTTAAATTTATTATTGAGGTTTTCTTGCTTTCCAAAATCACATTTTATCACTTACTCTATGACTATGGGTCAGTTTCCCCCACTTCCTGAACATTCATTTCCACTGATTATAAAACAGAATCAAATTATAGTGTTATATCAACAATGCTAGGCATATAAATAGGTATTCAACTGATGTAACTTTCCTAACTGTCAAAAATGTAAAGTAGTCCCCCAAAACAGAAAGAGGACCTCTTAAACTACAAAGCTCTTGAGTACTCAAATTTACATTTTCCTGAGTTTTAATTATTTATAAGTATAACATTGGGACTTTCCAACTTGTAACCAAGTTCTGTTTGCAACTTGGTAGGGTTGGGGGTGGAGTAAAGGGTAAAGGGCGACAAATATATGGTGATGGAAGAAGATCTGACTTTGAGCGGTGGGCACCCAAAGCAATATACAGATGATGTACCATAGAATTGTATACTTGAAACCCATGTAATCTTAACCAATGTTATCCCCATAAATTTAATTTAAAAAAGTATTCATAGTAAGGTCTTTGATTTCACCTCTGAGGGACCCTGAATCTCCCTAACCAATTCTCTGAAACCAAACCCTCCAGTACCAGGTAGCTTCCTGAGAGTGGAGATGGCTGCTGATCACTGACATGAGAGGCAGTACCCAAGCAGAACTGTCATCTTTCACAGCACTGCAGAGAGCAAGGCAATCAGACCCTATGAAATTATTGCTAGCAAGGGACACACAAGTCAAAGCCTACAAATAATGATGACGGTACATCGTAATGGCATTGAGAAATGTAGAAACTACATTGTGAAATGTATTTTTCATAAGAGAGGCAAATGTTTCCAGGATAAAAATAAATAGGGGTATTAGGAGGTAGGGAAAATAAAAGGAAGAAAAATTCCTATCAGGCAAATGCTGACAAAATAAAAGTGGAATTGATAAAAGTCTGTGCAGAGTTCAAGAAAGAGATCATTATGTGGAAGGAGGCCAATACGTAATGACAAGAGGTTTACTTCAGAGAAAAAAATTTTAAATGTATACTTGATCTCATAAAACATCCTCAAACATAACAGAGAAAAAAAAATGGGACAAATAAAGTGCTACTGACAAACACAAACTGCAGTGGGATTTCAACACACTCAAGCACCTACAGGTCAATCTAGCCAAACCTGCAAAGGCTAAGTGAAAGTTTATATAAGTTTAAATTCAAGTTTATTTAGGAGCCATCACACTTGTAGCCACCTAAGTTTGAAAAACACACACCAAAAAACAGAGTAGCAAACACTCCAAGGAAGAGTTGGGAAAAGCAGGGCCTACACAGAGACAAGGATATGAAGAATCAGGTGTGCAACCCCAATTTGAGCCTCACTGATGCCAGATATTTGCCAAGTCTGACCCTGCTCCCAAGCTCACTGAAATGAAGGCACGTCCCTATAGCCACTCAACATCCTGGACCCAAACCTCCGGCCTCACAGTCATCCACAACTCAGACCCTATGAAATTACTGTCCCTGTCACCAATCACTCAAGCACTTAAGCAGATACCCATAGATCCATAACCAGAATATTGAATGGATGGGTGACAAAGCTTATGCTTCCACTCCTCTCCTCCCTATGGCTTTTATGAGAGGTGACTGCAAGGCTTACCTGTGTATACTTGATGCAGTCAGTTCTCCATTCAAGTGGTAGCCTATTCCACCGATGAACTACTACTGGATGGGGCGATTGCATTTTTAATTTTTTAAAAATAATTTTATTAACGTGAGATTCATTAATAAGATTAATCCCAAAGGCAAGGGAAATAAGAGCAAAATGAAACAAATGAGGTGGCATTTTCTTACATGTTGCATCAAAAGTAGCCTCTCCAGCCCTACTATTAATCACTGGTTTTTGCCCTTTGATTCCAAACCACCCTAAAGAAAAGAGAGGCAAAGGAAGAAAAAGAGGAGAGGAGAGAAAAGAAGAGATTAAATATGAATTAACCTTAGATTCAGCAATAGAGCCACCATATTTCAGCTCTTTAGAATAGGCAAACAATTACCTAACTACAACCCTGGGTCTCTAATGAAATAAAGCAATGGGGAAGGACATTTTAAAAATAATGAAAAATCCAACATGTGAAATACGGTAGTCCTCATTGTCCATAAGCAATCTATTTTAAGACCCCCCAGTGGATACCTGAAACCACAGACAGTACTGAACCCTGTATGTATTATATTTTTTCCTACACATACATAACACTTCACAGCCTGTCTTTGTTATATCCAAGTTGCCAGGATCACTACTCTTGCGATTTGGAGCCATTATTAAGTAAAATAAGAGTTAGTTGAACACAAGCACTGAGATACCACCACAGTTGATCTGATAACCTAGACAGCTACTTAGTGACTAGTGGGAAGAAGCATATACAGTGTGGAGATACTGGACAAAGAGATGATTCATGTCTGGGGTGGGCCAGAGCAGGACAGCGTAAGATTTTATCACACTACTCAGAATGACACACAATTTAAAAATATGAATTGTTTATTTCTGGAATTTTTCATTTAATATTTTCAGACCAAAATTGACTGTGGGTAACTAAAACCCATGAAAGTGAAACCAAAAACAAGGGGAGACTACTGTAGAAGCTGTATATAGTGGGGGTAGGGGGTTCAGTATTTGGGGGCAAAACTTTCTTTGGTTCATCTCTTAAATGTTTGAACTCTCCTGGCTACCAGCTTCCTCCATTCCCTCATTTGATCTGGCACTGGGCTTGATAGCTCTAGCTCCAGCCCAGAATTAAAAGAGAGGGGACACAAGGGAACTAAACAGATGGAGGAAAAGGTGGGTGGAGGAAAAGGTAGGTTTGCAGGTAAAAGTACTATTTCAATTTATATCCCCCAAACATGAAACTCTTGTCTCAAGCTTTTGGGGATGTGGTCTGCAGCACCAGAGTATATTTTTAGGCCATTTCTACTAAATCCGACACAAGACACATGTGGTCCCACTAGAACCCTAAGTGTGGGCCAATGAGACAATATTTGGAGACAGATACACAGAATCTCTCAAGTGTAAGGGCTTAATGATTCTCAATTCTCTCTGCATGGTTGCCTCCTTCCTACCTACCCACTCCTAAAAGTGAAGTAAAAAGTTAAAAGTGTTCACAGCCCATCTTTGCAAAATTTCTAGAGCCCTTCTTGCCCTTGGGGACCCAATATCCACACCTGCTTACAGGGTGGGGGCTGCAAAGTTCTTCTAATTAAGGTTGTGCAAAGTACGTCAGGCAGTCCCCTGGGGTCCTTTTCAAGAAGTGAAACCTCCTGTAAGGCAGAAACTTTTTTCTATGTCCTTCAGCTCTAATAAGTGTATATTAAACCGAAGTAATTGGGGTGATGTCCAAGGTAGCAGAAGTCACTGATTTCCTGTCACCTGGTATCTATCAGCGATCCTAGGTCTGGCCTAACTCACTCACCCCTGTGCACTTGAGAAAGTAGCAGTCAAGTGAACTCAGCAGCAAGCATCAAATCAGCCCTTGAGCCCTAAGGTCTTGGAGACTCAGGTAAGGAATCAATTTTCTATGTTTCAATTACTAAAAGGGAGTAATTGATTGGGGGAGGTATAGGATAGTTTTGGAGAATGGAGATTTTTGCTTTAATTCTAGCACTGTCCTGGTCAGGTTTTCTGATAGTGTCATGATTTGAGGAGGAGTCATATCAAAGCTTGCTGCCCACCCACTCTTAATATTTCCCTTTTTGTCTCTCTCTCTTTCTGCCTCCCTCTCTTTCTCAATTCTGGCAGATCAACTCTGAGTCAGATTACAGCATGTAGATTAAAACACAATTGCCAACCTGCTGGGCTCAGACCTGCACTCTACCACTTACAAGCCACATAACCTCAGGGCAAGTTATTAAGCCTCTGTGTTCTCAGTTCCCTCTTCTATAAAATTGTGGCGATAGTAACACCAATTGCATTATAAAGATTAAATGAGCTAAAATCTTGAAGATCTTAGAACCAGTTGTGTAGTACGAAACAAGAAAGTAACTAGTTGTGGCTATAATGAAAATAACTCTATTCCAATTACTTTAATTTTTTTCCCTTCAAAAGATAGCCCATGAAATGGAAATATCCTTAGATGTTACTAAGCCTCACAGGCTAACATTTCTGAAGGGGCTTGGTGGACACCAAAATGAACCCCAAATCCTGACTCAAATCCATCACAGAAGCTTAGAGTAAAAGTGGGCACTGGAGATGAGAGGAAGCTCTAATGAAAGAGGACAAAAATGAAATTTAACCATGTCATAACTATTTTCTAAAACCAGTATATAATGTGACTACTTTTTCTGTTTCCCGTAAGATAATTTGATCTCACTGATCAGACTGCCTTTTTGTCCGATGCCCTGTGCATTTTGTAAACCTTCTCTGAAGAGGCAGTTCAGTTTAATGTTCATTCTAACGTTTACTGACCTCATAGTATGGAGAAAATGAGTTCTCTGTGTAATACTAGTAGGAAATTTCCTTGCAGGATTTACATCCCATTAAAGAAGCTACAATATGGTATCTAAAGAAAATAGTAAGAAATGCAAAGAGCTGTGACTTTGAAAGAGAAGTCGATGCCATCAGTGAGAAGGGCAGGAACAACCTCGGGTCATGTGTGTGTCTCATGGGGAATTTGGCTGAAAATGCAGGGGCAGGAGGAGCGTTTCACAGAGGAGAGGATTGAAAGGAGAAAGCGAGAGGCCTGTCCAGACCAGTGGCTCTGGCTCCTGTGGGAAACAGCGGGAAACAATGGGATGGAGCTTAAGAAGTTAGGTAGAACTGAACTGTGAAGGGCTTCTTCACAGGCAATGACGGTTTGGAGAGAGAGTTCAAGCTCAGGAAGGGCATGACCTAAGTAGTAATTGAGGGCATTGGATCACAGGATAACATTTCTGGAGCAGGGTGGTGGACACTAAATCTTGCTTCAAATCCATCACGGAAGGAGGGAGGGTAGCCCTAGCCAGTTTGGCTCAGTGGATATAGCATCAGCTTGTGGACCAAAGGGTCCCAGGTGTGATCCTGGTCAAGGGCATGTACCTTGGTTGCAGGCTCCTCCCAGGCCTGGGCATTGGTCGGGCTCATACCGATGTGTTTCTCTCACATCAACGTTTCTCTCTGTCTTTCCCTCAATTTTCACTCTTCCTAAAAATCAATGGAAAAATATCTTTGGGTGAGGACTAACAAAAACAACAACAAAGAAAAAAAAAAAAGAGAGAGGGTGGATTAGAAAAGAGAAAGACTGAAGGCAGAAAAGCAAGATTTTTGTGCTCAAACCAGGAGAGGAAATGAGAATTGAATGCATGAGGTGATAGTGGAAGTAGAAAAAGGTTCACCTGCAAGATAAGGTACATTAAAAGGCCCATACAGCATGACCTGGCCATTGAGTGAACTTGGGAGACAAAGGAGCCCAGTGACAGATGGCTCCAACTTTTTATGCCTGGGTGACAGGGGAAACAGAAATAAAGCAATCTGAGGGACGATGCCTGAGGAAAGGCTGGGGACTCTGCAGCATGGTCCCTGCAGAGAACAGTTCCAGTTGAGTGACTCCCCTTCAACTGGCTGTGAAGCATTGATGAGTGAGGGGGCAGAGAGGAAGTGGAGGAAGAGAGTGGAACCATAAGCTTTTAAGAAACTTTGGGTAAAGGACAGGGACACTGGGCAGTGTTGAGGGACACTGCTATATTAAAGAAAGGGCTTTGAGATGGGGGGACACCAGGGTACATTTTACTATTTAAAAAATGGTCTGGTGCCTACAATTTTCTTTAAATATTACATATTTTATAAATTGCAAGATATCTCCTGTTCTCAAAACAATACTTTGAATCAAGAGATAACAAAAGTAGCAAGCAACAGAGCTGGGACTAGCTCCAGCTACATGGGTATTGGGAACAGTGAGACTGATGATGCAACAACTGACTCCTTGAAGGACTAAAATCTTGGTGGATGGGGATAGGCTGAGATGCACAGGCAGAAGGAAAGGAAGCAAGAACATTCTTCCTAAGAGATAAGTACACAGGAGGCCAGAAAGGATAAAAAGGCAGAAGTATTTTGAGTGGCAAAGGAGGAAGTTGAGGTAACGAAGGGGGAAGTTGAGGTAACAAAAGCTTTGAACTTCTCAGTAAATGATGCAGTTATTGGACCTAAAAGTCATAACTCAAACCAAAACCCATGAAAGCTGTGAGCTCTCCTTCAGTGGGTGAAGAGAAACAGTGGTATCTTTTAAAAATCAAAAGAGATTTGCCATAAAATGGGGCAGTGTCTGGTAAACCGAGTCCTTATTTTGATATAGTTTAGTGAAAATAATATACTATTATTACCATATTTTGACCAATGTGGTCAGTAACCCACATTGGTTATGAATTATTAATGTACCAATGAGTCTTTGGGCATAACCATGTAGGGCACCGTGTAAGTAATTATGAACAATTTTTTTTTGAATAGGGCAAAGCTTCAGGAATCTACAATATCCTTAGGAGTATGTGGTCTACTTTTATATATTCCCATAGAATGAAGCTTTCATTATCCAGTCATTCTATAATGCCCTGGAATAATATAATCTATCTATCTATATATATAAAGCTTAAGTGACCATTCAACCATTTGACCAGTACTTATGATATGCACTGACCACGAGGGGGCAGGCACTCAATGCACAGGCATGAAAACATGGATCAGACTGATGAATCTTAGAGGGAAGATGGGAGAGAGTAGGGCAGGAAGAGATTAACCAAAGATCTTATATGCATACTAGAGGCCTGGTGCATGGATTCACACACCGGTGGGGTCCCTTGGCCTGGCCTGTGGGAATCAGGCTGAAACCGGCTCTTTGACATCCCCAGAGGGGTCCTGGACTGCAAGAAGGCACAGGCAGAGCCGAGGGACCCCAACAGTGCACAAATCTGTGCTACAAGCCTCTAGGATAATATAATATAATCTATACTAATAAAAGGATAATATGCTAATTAGACAGGATAGACCAGACATCTTCCAGACTTCCTTCTGGACAAAGCCATGTTGGTGGGGGCCAAGGCAGAGGCAGTTAGGGACAATCAGGCAGGCAGGGGATCAGTTAGGGGGTGATCAGGCAGGCAGGCACAGGCGATTAGGGGCAATCAGGCAGGCAGGCAGAGGTGGTTAGGGGCAATCAGGCAGGGGAACAGTTAGGGGAGATTAGACCAGCAGGGGAGCAGTTAGGGGCAATCAGGCCAGCAGGGGAGAAGTTAGGGGCAATCAGGCAGACAGGCAGGCAGAGTGGTTTGGGGTGATCAGGCAGGCAGGCAGGCACACTGGGCCCCTAATATAATATAATATAATATAATATAATCACACACATAAGTATATGTACATGAGAGCATATTTGCATAAGAAATGAAGTAGCATATAGAAACAGGTATGCTTTTGTTTATCTACTACCATTTTAATCTTAATATTTTTGAAAGCTTTGTAGAAATTTCCATAGCAAGACATTATTTTAATAGAGAAAATATAGTTTTCCCTAATGGTCATTACTTCCATTAGCCACTGCAGACATAGCCTAAGTAGAACTTGCTTACATAAATGGCTTATCTTGTCAATAATACAGATACAACCTTAGGCCATTGAAAAAATATGGAGAAATTAAAAACAACAGAAGTTCAATCATCTAGATAATTGATGACTTTTGCTCTTTATTTTAAGTCATCCTCACTAAAATGGGCCCTCTGAAGAGGAGTGTGGTGACTCCCAGCTCATTCCACACTTGGCATGGGAAAATTAACCTCTCTGAACCTCCATTTCTATGTTTGCAATAAGACAAAATGCCTACTTAGTAAAGAAGGTGTTGGGAGAGTTGGAACTAGATGCATATACACTAGTCCTGGCTCATAGTAGATGCTCAGTGAATAACTGTATGTGGTATAGCTTGTTGTGTGGCAGAAAGAGCACCAGTCTCAGGGCCATGGTGTTGCCTTCTGGTTTGGCTTGATCACTGGGAGCAAAGTCTTTAACAAGGCATGTCCCATCCCTGGGCCGCCATTTCCTCATTTGTCAAATGAACAGAATGGTTTCTGAGGTTCCCCCTGAGTAGCTTTAAAAATACTGTCTGGTGACCAGTTTGTAAACTCTGTAGTGGGCTACACTGATATATTCCTTTTGGTTGGTACAAAGCAGATCCCCAAGACCATATGACATATGATAATCTAGAATTTGAGCAAAATCAAGTGCAAAGCATTCAGTCAAATCTTCCTCTCTTCCCTTCAGCTAAGACAGATATTCTTTCCTCAATTGATTTGTAATCACCTAATTTGAAGGAGAAGAGGTTCATTAGTAAAATAGACTGAATTCCTATTCCCTACAGGGTACAAAGCAGTCTGATACCATAGGTACCTCATTGTAGAGGTCCAAGTCCACATTTTAAATCTCTACTAGTCATGAAACTTTGAACAGTTACCTAACTTTTCTATGCCCTTGTTACCTTCTGTACAAAGTAGGGACAATGACTTATCCCTAATCTACTCTGTGAGGCTCACATGAGATGCCAGATGTGAAAAATCTCTTTGTCACTATAAAGCAGGTACAAAGGTGGGGCCCAGGAGACATCCAATTACCTGTCTCATGGCACACCTGTAGTTGCCTGGCTCTGTGTGACTTCAGTAAGATAAGCAAGGTGGACAGACAGTCTTGGTCTCCATGTCTCCTTACACAACTTGCAGTCAATAAAGACAAGAACAAAGATGTGTCCCAAAGAGAGATTTCCAGAGCCCAGGAGAGACCAAATAGAATTCATGTAAGAAATTGACATAAACAAATGAATACCAGAAGAAAGTCCAAGGTAAAGAGGGCTGAGCAGTCTTGAAATATTAGCACTGGGAAGGACCGTGATAATAGGCACTGCCTAACTTCAGAAATGAATAAATTATGAATTCTAAGAACAACTAGTATTTACTACGTTCTCACTATGTACTAGGCACTTTCACATGTTAACTTCTCACAAATGTCTGTGAAAGGGGTATTGTGCTCATTTTTCAGATAGAAACAAGAGAAAGTAATGCTCAAAAGGTAATAATGCTAAAAACAACAACAGCAACAAAAACAGCTAATAATCATTCAGACATACATATCTTGCATACATTTATTTCTTCAATCATACTTACTAGGAAACTACTAAAATACTGGATTAGAGAGAACAAGGTCTCTGCTTTGATGGAATTTATAAACAAGCAATTAAATATAATGGGGTGTTGTGGGAGAGAGTAACTAGAAGGTTGAATCATGGATTGAGGGTTCAGGGAAGGCTTCTCTGAGAATCTGACATTTGAGCTCCATCTGAGTAAAAAGATACCAGCCATCCACAGACCATCAGCTCATTTAAACCTTATAGCAACCCTATGAGAAAAGAATTATTATTATCTTCCATAACAATAGTTCAACTTGAGGCCCAGAGACTTTTTAAAAATTTTCCCAAGGTTCACAGCAAAAAGAAGACTCATGATTTAAACCTAGGCAATCTGAATCAGGAGGCCCTGGTCTTACATACAACCTTAGAGAGCCTCCTTGAAGTGATTAACTCAAGGTCACAGAGTTAGTAGTAGAGGGCAGACTAGAATCAGCCCTTCCTGACTCCAAGGACAGACATCATCATATTCTGTCATGATGCCTCTGGTCCATCACAATGAACAAAAGCAAATAAGCATAGGAATAAGGGCAAGTCTAAACAAAATGCATTTTCCAATATTAAAGCATAAGAAAAGCATCCAGGGTTGAGAGACAAACAGAACATGCAGATATATGAGCATGGTGTTTACAAGATAAATTATGCCCCAAATATAGTTGTCAAGAATACTGGCAGCAAACCCTGGGCCCATATGTCCTTGCTTGAGATGCCCCCTCCCAATCCAGTAGGACTTGCCTCAGATCCAAAGTCACAAGGAAGAGGCCATGTTTACCCTCAAAGACACCCATGGGAAAAAATACTGAAAAAAAGTATTCAGATCAAATGACACAAGATAAAAGACTACTGAAATCCTGTTCTCTCTCTTCTCATTTTATTATTTGTTTTATTTTTAGGATTTTTGAGGGTGAAATGACAACACCCAGAAATTCAATGAGTGGAGCTTTCCCAGCAGATCCTACGAAAGGCCCTATTGCCATGCAACCTGTTAAAAAAATAATTCCCAGGAAGGCATCTCCTGTGGTTGGCCCCACACAAAGCTTCTTCATGAGGGAATCCAAGGCTTTGGGGGTGAGTCAGTTACCCTCCATTCCATATTCAAGGGATTCTCTGGCTTATAGAAGTAGATGCTGTAGACCAGGTACAGGATTCAATCCAATTTGAAGGTATCTGATCCAACCTGAAGTGTTCTTTATGTCTGAAATGGTGGGTCAAATCAAAGATGTACAGAGAAGTTATCACAGTAATCTTTTGATTTTGAGACTTACATATGATAACCCAGTTCATCACCAACATCCTAGGCATATCTACCTTGGAAATGAAACATTTTCTTCACCCAGGTGGTGAAGAAAATGAATCCAAACAAGACATAGGTCTTGGCATCTTCACCACTTCTTTTAGGCATTTTACACAGGCCCAAGACAGGGCTTCCAGCTTTACTTTTGCTTTCTGACTTGAAGATGATTTAAATTCACTCACCAGTGCCCCTATTTTCTCCACAGGCTGTCCAGATTATGAATGGGCTCTTCCACATTGCTCTTGGTGGTCTCCTGATAATCCACCTGGAGGTCTATGTACCTATCTGTGTAACTGTGTGGTACCCTCTCTGGGGAGGCATAATGGTGAGTAAAAATTCACAACCATTTGGGGAGTGATGCAGACAAAAATTTTAAAAAGACTCCACAGGAATACACCAGATTAGTTCTGTGCTGAGGAAAGTTGAGTAGGAGATAGCTTGTCTGATTAAAGTAATTTGTGGAAAGAAACTTGACTAAATTGAGTATGAATGCCATGGTTGAGAGTTAGTCATCATGCTTCATGTGAAGTCAGAGAAAGATATCCTACATGAATCTGCAAAGGGAAGGAAGGGTGTTCAAAGCATGACTTATCCAAAGTCAAGTTGGGCAGGCAAAGGAGCACTAGACATTTGGACTATATAACATGGTGTTTCAGAAAGCAAAAGGGGGTACGACCATCCCACTTCCAACTGGTCCTTCTTCCTTACAACTCTGTTTAGTTACTATTGCACATGGTGAAATTAGTCCCATCCCAAATGAATCTCCCGTAGATTATCAGGAGAGCAGCATTCCTTATGGCTGTTTCATGTACATGTTTTTCAAGCTTGTAGCCTGTCTGGGTGTGGTATGGGGCAGTGGTGTTTATATCGCCATTACATTTTAATAGTTGCTATGATAAAGATGAGCCCAAGATTTTCTGAACAAGGGGAGATAGATTAAGAATTTTCTTCATTTTTTACAGCTTGGACAGTAGAAAAGGAAAATGAGAAATAATTATCATCACTTCCTGTAGCAGCCAACGTTTTAATGGGGTGCCTATGACATTCAGGCCAAATATTTCCTACATTGATTCACTCTTCATTAACATTAGTCATGTAAATTATTGGGAACTACTAAGAGCAATTATACAGAAAATTTTTAAAAGAAAAGCAAAACTTTTAAATTCACAGTCTGACTACTAATTGACATGGAAATGTAAATTCTGCCTCTTTGTGTTTTTTTAATTATTATTATTTTTTCACCCTCACCGGAGGAGTGAAGATATTTTTTTCCATTGATTTTTAGAGACAGTGGAAGGGAGGGGGTGGAGGCAAGAGAGAGAGAAACATCAATGTGACAGACACCATGATTAGTTGCACCCACACACACACCGGGACCAGGGGGCAGAGAATAGACCTGAAACCCAGATACATGCCCTTGACCTGGGCTCAAACCTGAGACCCTCTGGTGAGCATGTCTACACTCAAACCACTGAGCCATGTTGGCCAAGGCATCTTTGGTTTTATTATATTCCTAGTCACAGCTCCTCAGTTGGTTGAATAAGAGGCATGGATTGAATGTAGTTGAACTTGAATAAAGGGGAAATATGACCAACTGAAAAATAAATGAATCCAATAAAAATGGCTAAGTAAATTAGTGAAAGTGATTGAAAGTGTGGATAGCTTTTTTACAACCCAGTTCTCACTGTTAAAAAGTAATCACTCTCTCTGCTTCTCTCCCCCTCTGCCAATTCTCCCATCTCCACACCCTTCCCCACTACCACTTCTCTTTTCACAGTACATCATTTCTGGATCACTCCTGGCAGCAGCCAAGACAAACTCCAGGAAAAGTTTGGCAAGTAATCATATGTTCTTCTCTCCCACCCATCAGAGGATTATTTGATTTCTCAGTTGAAAACAAGGACCCTTAAAGACCTTTGGAATCACAATAGCATTGAGTTCTCTCAACCCTTAAAAGCAAAAGATCCTCTACAATACGATTGTGATTTTATTTAAGAAAAACTTGAAAATGAGATCTGCCTGAAATGCATCCATGGAAACAATTTAAAGGCAGATGAAGAGCATGCTTATGATTTTATGACTGATAAATGCTGTGTGAGACTAACAAATCTCCTTAAAAGTTATGTCGTTTCTCTCAGGCTGCCATTTAGGACAGCTATCTAATCAATGCTATGATTGACTCAAGTCCTAGTTGATGTTGAGCTGCAATTTTGAGCTCAGTTTATCTCCATGTACCTCTGAGTTTTCACCTGTAAAATGAAGATAACAGTACTTGCTACCACATAACATTGTCATTAGGATGAAATGGAGTAGTATAAAGGAAAGTGCTCCGGAGGCACTTTCACCCCGGAAGAGCTCCCATATTGTATGGGTCACGAGCTCACCAGGTTTTCTCCCCCAATTTTTTTTACACCTATTAAGCTATTGCTGACTTGAGTCACTTCCAAAGTCAGTGAGGGATTGAGTGAATTGAAATGCTCTACTCTAGAGGTGGTCTGACAAACTCAGTTTGTGTGTGTGTGTGTGGGGGGAG